GCCGCAGCAGCCACCGCAGCCTCCGCCGCAGCAGCCTCCGCAGCCTCCGCCACGACAGGCGCCGCAGCCTCCGCAACAGCAGCCGTCGCCGCGACAGACACCGCAGCCTCCGCAACAGCAGCACTCGCCGCGACCAGCGCAGCCTCCACGGCCTCAGCCATCACAGCCTCCGCCGCGACAGACGACGCGGCCTCCGCAACCGCAGCAGTCACCGCGACCAGCGCAGTCTCCACGGCCTCAGCCATCACAGCCTCCGCCGCGACAGACGCCGCAGCCTCCGAAACCACAGCAGTCACCGCGACCAGCGCAGTCTCCACGGCCTCAGCCATCACAGCCTCCGCCGCGACAGACGCCGCAGCCTCCGAAACCACAGCAGTCACCGCGACCAGCGCAGTCTCCACGGCCTCAGCCATTACTGCCTCCGCAGCAGCCGCCGTCGCAGCCACCGACCCGCCAGCGAGGGACCTCGCTTATCCAGCGTCTGCGCCAGCAGCTCCTGCGCCGCCGCCAATTACAAGCGACATCCCCCAGGATCCGGCCGGTGCAGGCCACCGGATTGTTCCGGCGCCAACCACGACTGCAACACCAAAGGGGACAATCGCCGCCGCCTCCGCCAGGGTCGCCGACACAGCCGACGCCTCCTCCGACGCCGCCGGCCGTTCCGCCAGGACCACAAGCGACCGCCGTGAAGAAGGTGACCCTCCAGCTCGCCGCCTGGAAGCTACACCCGCTGGACATTCCGCCGCCTGCCAGGACTAGGCCACCGAGGTACTACCTCCACCCGTGGGACCTCAGAGTACGCCGGTACACCTCTCCACGATACCTGCCGGCGCCTCCATCAGCGGGGGAGAAGGAGCAGTTCTCGGGATCCGAGTGGGAGACCACCAGCCAACCCGGAGACGAGAACGCGAATTACTGGGGCCCAGAAAAGAGGACGGCTACAAAGCCCTCGCTCACTTACCGCGAGCGAGTAAGTGAGAAGCGGCGCCCCACCAAGTGGACGTATACTCAGCCGCCGCTCACCTACAAGGAGCGAAGCCCCTCTAAGTGAGGGGGCAAACCAAACGGCCCTTTTCAGGGCCACCACAAAATACCAAAGTCCACCACCTTGTATATATCTGTACATAGCGATAATAAAACTTGTACATAATTACAAAGTCACGACTTCACCTCTCTCTTGCGATCCCTGGCGCCGCACCGACAGAGGCCGACAGCGACGGCCGGTCGGTGCCTCCTCCACCAGTAGCGGGTAGACGAAACCGCATACGCAAAGGAAATCGCTACAAACTGGTGACCCCGACGTGATCAGCAGTGCCAAGCAAGGGAGATAACATGATGAAAGACGACGTCGACGCCACCATCGACCTAAGCGCCGAGGCACAGCAAACGAG